ATAGTTAGGCCATAAGGCACCGTAGGCTAGTGGAAATTCATAAGAGCGAACAAAGAGCTCGCACCGGGTGCGAGGCTGACCACGAGGTTGGTGCCGCGACGCGACTCGGGCACTGACTCACAGCGAAGGTCAGCTTTCAGTTCTATTATTTTGGGTTTACACACCTCATGATAATATGAACTCAATTGTACGAGGTAAATAAGGTATTCCATAGTTGTCAACTAAAGTCAGGTACCTTCGACCGACAGTACCGAGTGACCGCCGAGTCGGGCTCGCTTAGGACTTTACGTAGTAACAGTGCGGACAGCTGTTCACTACAGGAGGAGTCACCGGCGGTCAAGGCTCCACCCGCCGTCCAATTTACGGGGACGGAGATAAGTAAAGACCATACACTTATTTAGAAATCATTAAGGATATGAGGGAGCAGTAAAGAAAAACATTGTGATGTCACTGGTTCTGAAGAAAACGCCGTATGTGGAGTCTGGCGAAGGTCACGACGGCGTGCAGTGAACAGAGAGTTACTCGTAGGGCTTCCAAGGCAAAATTTCAAGTGTAAATTAAAACACACGGCAAAATTTTTGTTTAAAATTAATTTAGCAAGGCTAAAAATTGCAAAAGATTGGCACACATTGTGTGCGTCGGCCCCATGCCGTGTCCGCTTGCGTACTTTCGACAGCAGTCCCGATTCCTACCGATGCTTCTACTGGGCGATTTATCAGTCAAAGAATTCCCCGGAGTCCTACCTGACTGCTCTCTTGAAAAACAGAGAAACCGGTTCCTATAAATGGCTGGATTAAATTAACTCCTGCCAATTCTGGTTCAACTTCGACGCACGCGTGCGCTCCAGACTGGATGTTGCCACCGGCAGCACCAGCACATTGTTCAGTACTGACGCCGGATGCTGAACTGCCTGATCGGGCTTGCTTATCAAACCGAAAAATTTTTACTTTGGGTCAAACACATGCTCGGTAAGCCAACGGCTTAGGGTTAAGGCTTTAAGGACTAGCGACTCCATTCAGACATGCCGCTTTTCCCACAGCGACGCCAAATGGTTTCGTGGTGCGTACATCGAATCAAAGTAATGAATACCTGGCACTAATGCAATGCATGGGGACGTTTTTTGAATGTCCTAACTGTAGCAGAAGGCCTAAAGAGCCACTTTCGCCGCTCTGAGCTTTCACGAAGAACTGAAACCTGTGGAGTTGTTTGCTTGCACGCATATGAGCTGAGAAGAGCCCAACCACAACGGGCATCTGACGAATTAAAATTACTCTAGCTGGCGTTACTTGTAGTACTAAGGTGTACTGGGGAGAGAGACGTATTCTGCATTTTTGCCGTGCTCTCCCTCACCGGCCACTTACATACAGTACGTAGAACAAAAGATCAGAAACGAGCTTCTCAACGATTCCGGGTTGTCTTCAAACAGAATTCGTGTAATCCAGACGTCCCCAGAAGCATTTGTTTGTTTAGCTCAGCTCCGAATGCTCAGAGCGAGGAGTAAAAGAACGGTGGCGACACTGGGAACCGATATGGACGCTGCGCCTGTTTCCAATCCCCAGAGGGCATTGTAAAGCTCAGGCCTGCAGGCGAAATTAGTCAATAATTTTAATTACCTTTATCATTCCCTGTGATTCCCATTATGCAACATATCGTGCTCCTGTAGCTCATTTGCGAGTGTGTTCTGCCCCTTGTGCTGCTGGTAGTCACAAGGTTAGTTCAGCTTACGTGAAAGGCTTATCTCCTTTTTGAAGTGGGTCTATGAAGTAGCAGAATAAAACGTCGTGGCCATCAGCGCAGTCTTGCGTGGCGGCACATGAGACCTTTGTGCTTTTTGATGACAGCAGAAACGCCACATTGCTGGCGTCTACGTTATTAAATGGAGCGTTTTCAACATCGTATGTTCCTGTCGATGGCTCGAAGTTCGATCTGCATCATGAAGGCGATAGCATTCAAAACGGAACAACCCTCGGTGAAGAAGCTTTTTCTGGCAAAGACTGAGAAAGAGACAAGCATCACCAAGCTGCACGTCTAGAAGAACACTTGACTAGGGGATGATCAGCCACCTCGTGCATGTTAACGTTAACACAGAGCTCCAACACACGTAGGAACTAAAAGGAGTAACCAATTTGGCACTAGTCAAAGAAAATGAAGTAAAACACAACGGACTCTTTGAGGTGGTTGAGCCCGTCTGTGTAGGTCTTCTGGATCAAAGTGTTGCAGTTGAAATCCATGGAATGCGCGAATGGAGTCACAAGTCCGGGATACTGTAGCACAACGCCAGGACAGCTGCTCTAGAATCCTTTACCCTGACGTGCCGAAATAAGTAGGATTTTTCGCGCGACATGCACGGTTTTATCACTTAAGGGGAGAGATGCTGCGGAAGGATACAAAAAATCTAGAAGCCCACCGTCTTCGCATTCGCGCTCTTGCCCGATTCACAGTTTTGGACATCGTCACCTGCGAGCTTTTCTGCAATTTTTGCAGCATTGAGTTCTTCTGGGTCCGGTATTCCGAGCTCCTCCAGGCTTGCAATCACTTCATCTTCGTGTGGCCTGGTGAGGGTTCCCAACAGGTCCTTTAGACTTTCGCTCCTTAGCTTGTTTATGACGGCCAGGCAATCTGCAGATGGCAAGCTAACATAGGCATAATAGCAATGCATTTATGTCCCGGCGTGGGTTTCCACAGGGCCGGCCACTAGCCACGGGTGGGGCTGCACAATAGCACAACCTGAATGCCATTCGTTAAAAAAAATGAGGCATTTGCGTTTAAATTGGATTAATAATAAAGATGAGGCATTTGCGTTTAAATTGGATTAGTAATAAAGTCATGTGCAGGCATAGTCTCTAGAGGCCAACAGATCTCTACAGGCCTGTGGCTGGGACTACCGTCGCGCCATCCACTGGTAGTTCACCATTAGTTTTCTCTTCCGCTTGGGGCGGAGTCGTCGTCCGCAGCGATTCTTGACCGGTTGCAAATAGATTTGTGCGGAGGCCGTTTTGCTCAGATATCGCTGTGCCAAAGCGAAGGGAAAGAGCCGATGAGAAGCTTGGTGCGGCAGCGCTGGCGAGAAGGCCGGCATAACATGCCAACAGCCCTACATGAGTCATTTCCTGACAGTTGGCTTATCATGAAGTGAATTGCAGTGCCAGAAATACAAGCAAAATGAGCAAGGAAAACAAAAGGGCTGGGAAAACAGAGAGCGGGAATGTGTAGGAGTTTGCGGCAACGATGTGGGTTGTTTCAGCTGTGTTCGTGGGGGGAGCTCCCTGACGCCTTGATTCCACCATATGTTTATTCAGGAGCTTGATTCGACTGATCCAGCACATTTATCAACCTTTGGAAGATAGCGAACAGTATATACTTATTTTGTGATAGTATATTTCTTTCACAGGGATATATATGGCAGTTGCTGCGATTGGAGGACTCACCAGCGGTCAAGGCACGCGGTGCACACTCCGCCGAGATTAAGGGAACGAAGATAGGTAAGGGACATAAACCTATTTGAAACTCGTACACACATAAAGAAGCTGTAATGAAAGACATTGTGAAGTCATTGATCCGAAAGAACATGGGGTCCTGCGAAGGTCACGGGGTATAGTGAGCGGAGGTTGACCTCATTACTCGAAGGGCTTTCAAGGCAAAACTCCCACACTAAACTAAAACATGCACCAACATCTTTGTTTAAAATTAAGTTAGTAAAGCTAGAAACTCCAGAAAATTGGCACACGCTGTGTACGCTGGCCACACGCCTTGTGCCCTCGCGTACCTCACCTCGACGCCTGTTCCACTTCTACCGATTTTGTCGATTTTTCTATTCGCCGGTTTCTCAGTCAAAGGATCTCCCGAATTCTTACTTGGCTGCTGTATTCAAAAGTGAAAAAGGTCCTTACTTTATATGTTTGGATTAAATCAATTGCTGCCGATTCTTGTTAACACTTCGACACACATGTGTGGTCCAGAGTTGGTGTCGGCACCGCCAGCACGAGCACGCACTTCAGTAGCAACTACCGACGCGGGATGCTGAGCTGCCTGAGAGGATTTGCTTATCAAACTGACAATGCATTCCTTTGAGTAGAAGGCATGCTCGGCATATCAAATGTTCTAGGATTTAGCGCTTACGGTTTCGCGACTTCATTCACACATGCCGCGTTTTCCACTGCGACGACAAATGCTCTTGTGATGCGTACATTCAATATCAGTAATAAATCTCTAGAACTGAAGCAATGCATGAGGGCGCTCGTTGAACGTATTAGCTGTAGCAAAAGCCGTAAAGAGCCATTGGTTCCGCTCTGAACGTTCATGAGCGACTGAAACCTGCGGCGTGGTTTGCTTGCATGCATATTTGCGGAGAAGAGTCCAACCACAACAGGTATCTGACGAATTAAAATTGCTCCCGAAGACGTTGCATGTAGGGCTAAGATGTAGTGGGGAAAGAAAAATACTCCGCATTTTTGCCGAAGATCTTCCTCACCAATCATCTTCAGCACGTAGCACTGGATATCAGAAACCAGCAGCAAAGCGACTAATAAACGTCTTTATACAGACTTTGTACGACCCAGACATCTCCAGAAGGTCCCCATTTGTTTGCTTGCCTAGCTCAAGTCCGAATGATCAAAGTGAGGACCAAAAGAACGGTGGCAACGCTGGGAACCGCAATAGACGCTGCGCCTGTTTGCAAACCCCAGAGGGCATTGTAAAGCTCAGTTCTGCAAGCAAACATAATTAGGAATTCCACTTTTCTCTGTTCTGCCTTGTAATTCTCATTCTGCAACATATCGTGTTTTTGTCTTGTAGCTCATTTGCAGGCGCGCTGCTGCTCGTGTGCTGCCGCCTGTGCTGCCGGCTCGTCACATGGCTAGTTCAGCTTACGTGAAAGGCTTTTCTCCTGTGCGAAGTGGCTCCAAGAAGTAGCAGAATAAAACATTGTGGCCATCATTGCAGTTGTTGGTGGCGGCACATGAGACCTCTGTGCTTTTCGCCGATAGCAAAAACGCCACATTGCTGGCATCTACGTCATCAAATGGAGGCTTTTCAACATTATACGTCCCTGTTGATGGGTCGAAGTTCGATCTGCAGCATGAATGCAATGTATTTCAACACAGAATGAATGAAGGCCAAGAATTTTTCTATGGCAAACAATGAGAGCGAGACGAACACCGCTAAGCTGCAGACTTGGAAGAACCCTTGACTGGGGGATGATAAGCCACCTTGTGTATGCTAAAGTAAACATAGGACTCCGACACACGTACGAACTAAAAGATGTAGGCACTGTGGCACCAACGAACGAAAATGAAGTAAAAAGCAACGGACTGTTTGAGGTGGTCGAGTCCGGCTGTGTAAGTCGCCCGAATCAAAGTGCTGCAGTCGAAATCCGTCTCATGCGTGAATGGAATGACGAGTCCGGGATACTGCAGCGCAGCACCACAATAGTTGTCGTTGAAGCCTCTAGCATGCTTAGAAGAGCACAGGGTTTCAGCTTTGCGCGGCGGTTCACCCCTTTAGCGGAAAGCTGCTACTGAGCGGTACTCAAAGCCCAATAGCCCTACCTTCTCCGCATTTGCGTTTATGCCCGATTGACATGTGTTATCTTCACCTGCAAGCTTTTCTGCAATATTCGCAGTAGTAGGTTCTGCTGGGTCCTGTATTCCGAGCTTCTTCAGGCTTGCAGTCACGTCACTTCCCTGTGCCTTGGTGAGGGTTTCCAAGAGGTCCTCTAGATTTTCTTTCCTTAGCTTGTTTATGATCTCCAAGCAGTCTGCAGATGGCAAGTTAACATGGGCATAATGGCAATGCAATTATGTCGTGGCATATTTTTCAATAGGTCCGCCCACTAGCCATAGGTGGGGCTGCACTAAAGCGACACCAGAATCGTCTAAAACAGGGGTACCTGTGCTTGAATTGCATTGAAAAGAACAAACACATGTGCAGGCATGATATCCGCAGGCCCACAAATCTCTACAGATCTGTGACTGGGGCTAGCGTAGTGCCATTCGTTTTTTCACGGTAGTAGTTCACCATCAGTTTTGTCAGCGCCTGTGGGCGCCGTCAACGTCCGCAGCAAATCTTGGCCAGATGCAAATAAATTTGCGTGAAGGCTGTTTTGCTGAGATGTCGCTATGCCAGAGCGAAGGGAAAGCGCCGATGAGAAGTGTGGTAAGGCGGCGCTGGCGAGAAGGCCAGCACAATATACCAAGAACCCTACGTGAGTCATTGCCTAACAATTGGCTTATCGTAAAGTAAGTGACAGTAGCAGAAATCCAAAAACATCCGTGCATGAAGGACAAAAGGGCTAGGAAGGCAGAAAGCTGGAATGCGCGGAGTTTGTGACCAATGCTGTGGGTTGTGTGCGCTGTGGTACTGGGGGGAGCTGTGATCCCACCATTCAATTACTCAGAAGCTCATTCCAACTTTTCACGCACATTTATCAAACTTTGGGATATACGGCACAGTATCTCATTACATTATGATACTAGATCTTTCACGAAAAGATATATGCGCCGGTTGCTGCGATGGCCGACACTGGCGATGAAGGCACGCCGTCCATAAGCCGTTCAGAATTAGGCGACAGAAATAGTTAAGGAACGTATACATATGTAGAAATTCCTGATGGTTTATCAGGACTTTAAAGGAACTGTAGAGAAAGACATTGTGAAATCATTTGTTTGGAAGAAAATTCTTTTCGTGGTAGCAGGGACTGGCGAAGGTCATGATGGCGCGCTGTGGCCGGAGGGTGACCTGGTAACCCGAAGGACTTCCAAGGCGAAGACAGTACCAGGACTCCGAACATAATGAGCGCGAAGGATGAAAAGGCTAGGAAAACAGAGAGCAGGAATGCGTGGGGGCTTCTGGCAACGATGTGGGTTGTGTGCGCTGAGGTGGTGGGGTGAGCTCTACGACGCCCTTATTCCAACATACAATTACTCAGGAGCTTGTTTCGATTGTTCTGGTACACTTATCAACCTTTTGGAAATAAGGTACAGCATTTGATTACGTTGTCATATTATATTTCTTTCAAAAGGATATATGCGGCGGTTGCTGCGATCGGAGAGTCACCGGCGGTCAAGGCACGCGGTATACACGCCGTCAACTTAAGGGGACAGAAAGAGGTAAGAAAGATAAACCTACTTAGAGACCTTCAAGGAAATAAAGGAGATGTACGGTATTTTAATTCAATTGTTTGAAAAGAAAATGCTATTCGCGGTTGCAGTGTCCGGCGAAGGCCACGATGGGCGGATGGCGACCTGGTCACTTGAAGGGCTTCCAAGGCAAACCTTCCAATGTGGACTAAAACATAGAGCAAATATTTTGTGAAAAATTAATTTAAGAACGCTACAGACTCCAAAAGGTTGGCACACACTGTGTACGCCGGCCACACTCCGTGTGCTCCCGCGTTCTTCCACGCCTGTTCTACTTCAACCGATTGTACCAATGCTTCTACTGGACGATATCTCAGTCAAAAATTTCTCGGATTCTTACTTGACTTCTCTCTATACAAACAGAAACAGTGAATAGTATATATGGTTGGATTAAATTAATTCCTCCCGATTCTTGTTCCACAGCACACAACTGTGTGCTCCAGACTGGGCGTCAGAGCCGGCAGCATCAGCGTTCATGCTGAGCTGCTTGAGCTGGCTCGCTAATCAAACCGACAATTTATTAATTTGAGCCAAAGACACGCTCGGCATATCCAAGGGTTTAGCGTTTAGCGTTAAGGTTTAATCGGCTTCATTCACATATGCCACTTTTCCCACTGCGACGACAAATGCTGTTGTGGTGAGTACATTCAATCTCAGTAATAAATAGATAGCACTAAAACAATGCATGAGTAAGCTCTTTCAATGCATCAACGGCAACAAGAGACGTAGACGGCCACTGCTTCGCTGCGAACGTTCATGAACGACTGAAGCCTGCGGTGTCGTTTGCTTGGATGCATACGAGCTGAGAGGAATCCAGCCAGAACAGGCATATAATGGACTAAAATTACTCTAGATAGAGTTGTGTGTAGCACTAAGATACAGTGGGGAGAAAAAGGCGTTCTGCATTTTTGCAGAAGCTCTTCCACACCAGCCACTTGCAGTGCATAGCTCTAAGGATCAGCAACCAGCTTCTACACAATTCGGAAATGCCTTCAAACAGGATTCGTACAATTTTCGACATCTCCAGAAGCTACTCTGTCGTTTGTTTGTTAAGCGTAAGTCCGGGTCATCAAAGCGAGGACCAAAAGAATGGTGGCGACGCTGGGCACGGAGATAGACGCTGCGCCTGTTTCCAATCCCCAGAGGGCATTGTAAAGCTCAGTTCTGCAAGCAAAAATAATTAATTATTGCATTCACCTTTATTGTGCCCTGCAAGTCCCATTGTGCAACATATCGTGACGTGGCTAGCTAAACTTACGTGAAAGGCTGATCTCCAGTTCGAAGTGGCTCTATGAAGTAGCAGAATAAAACGTTGTAGCCCTCACTGCAGTTGTTGGTGACGGCACATGAGACCTTTTTGCTTTTCGCCGACAGTAGAAACGCCACATTGCTGGCGTTTACGTTATTGAATGGAGCTTTCGTAGGATCATATTTTCCCGTTGAGGGGTCGAAGTTCGATCTGTAGCATGAAAGCGGTCGGACTTAAAACAGGATAACTAAAGATCAATGACTGTTTTGGGGAAATACTGAAACAGAGACAAGCACCACCAAGCTGCACATCTGGAAAAGCACTTGAACAACGGATGGTCAGCCACCTTGTGCGTGCTAAAGTGAAAAGAGAACTCCAACACACGTACGAACTAGAAGGCGTAGGCACTGTGGCACTGGTCAAATGAAATGAAGTAAAAAGCAGCGGACTGTTTGAGTTGGTCGAGTCCAGCTGTGTAGGTCGCCTGGATCAAAGTCTTGCATTTGAACTCCGTGTCATGCGCGAATGGAATAACGAGTCCGGGATACTGAAGCACAACAGCATTATGATTTCAACAGAAGCTTCTCACATGCATGGAAGAACGCAGAGCTTTAGCTTCGAGCTGTGGCGATTCATCACATGAGCGGAAAGCTGCTGCTGAATGGTACTCAAAGCCCAAAAGCCCTACCTTCTTCGCATCCGCGCTTTCGCCCGAGTCACATGTGTCACTGTTGCCTGCGAGCGTTACTGCAATTTTCACGGCAGTAGGGTCTGCGGGTTCCACTATTTGGATTGCCTTCAGGCTTTCAGTCACCTCTTTTTCCTTTGCGCTGCTGAGGGTTTCCAACAGGTCCTTGAGATTTTCGCTCCTTAGATTGTTTATGATGTCCAGGCATTCTGCAAATAGCAAGCTACCACGTGCGTAATGGTAATGCAATAAGAGGGCTGCCCACTAGCCGTGGGTGAGGCTGCACTGAAGCGCCACCTAAATGACATTCGTCAATAACGGGGGCATTTGCGTTTGAACTGCATTGAAAGAAACACATGTAGGCATATTCTATGTAGGCCCGTAGATCTCGACAGATCTGTGACTGGGGCTAGAGTAGCGCTAATCATTTGTTCACTATAGTGGTTCACCTGGAGTTACCTCCTCGGCTGCGGTGTCCGTCCGCAGGGAAACTTGGCCAGATGCAAATAAATTTGTGCGGAGACTGTTTTGCTGAGACGTCGCTGTGCCAGAGCGAAGGGTAAGCGCTGATGAGAAGTGTGGTGCGGCGGCGCTGGCGAGAAGGCCAGCATAACATGCCAACAACCCTACGTGAGTCATTGCTTGGCAATTGACTTATCATAAAGTTAATGACAGTAGCAGAAATCCAAACAAAATGAGCGCTCAGACCGAAAGAGCTAAGCTAACAAAGAGCGGGAATGAGTGAGAGTTTGTGGCAACAATGTGGGTTGTGTGTGCTGAGGTAGTGCGGCGTGCTCCAAGACGAGTTGATGTCACCATACAATTACTCAGGAGCGTGTTTCAGCTGTTCACGCACAGTTGCCAACCTTTGGGAAATAAGGGACAGTATCTGATTACTTTGTTGTGAGATTCTATTCCTTCCAAAAAGAGATGTACGTGCGACTGGAGGTGACACTGGCGGTCTCAAGGCACGACGTTCACGACTCCACACGGTCAAGGCACTACGTGCACACGTCGTCCAAATTAAGGGAACGGAAATAGGTAAGAAACATAAGCCCAATAAGAAACTTTTAAGGATATGAAGGAACTGTAAAGAAAAACATTGTGAAGTCATTGTTTCGGAAGTAAATGGTATTCATGGTGGCGGTGTCCAACGAAGGTTTCGATGGCGAAAGCTGAGCTGAGAGTGACCTGGTTACTCAGAGGGCTTCCAAGGCAAAACCTCTAATACAAACCCGGACATGAGACAAAAGAAAAGCTGCAAATTGTAGAAAAACGCCACACACTGCGTACGCTGGCCACACGCTGTGTGCGCTCACGTACTTCAATGGCTGTTTACGTTTACCGATATTGCCGGGGCTTCTACAGGTGGATTTCTCAGGGCATTTCCCTGCTTCTTACTTGACTCCTCCCTTTAGAATATGAAGCAGTGTTATGTATCTTTGGATTAAATCAATTCCTGCCGGTTCCTGTTCCGCTTCGGCACTCCTGTATGCTCCAAACTGGCTGTTGGCACCGGCAGCAGTAGAGCAGAATTCATGCTGAGCTGCCTCAACGGGCTCGCTTATCAAACCGAAACTTTATTACTTTGAGTCAAAGGCATGCTGGGCACACCAAGGGTTTAGGGTTTAGGGTTTCGTCGCTTCATACACACATGCCACGTTTCTCATTGCGACGACAAATGCTTTTGTGATGCGTCAATAGTGAGTAGCTAGCACTAAAACAATGCGCGAGAGCGCTGTTTGAATTTATTAACTCTAGCAGAAGGCGTAAACGGCCGCCGGCCTCGTTGTGAACGTTTATGAAGGACTGTAGCTTGCCAAGTTGTTTGCTGGCACGCATTTGAGCTGAGACGAATCCAGCCACAACAAGTAACAGACGAATTAAAATTCCTCTGGATAAAAATGCATATATTACTAAGATGCAGTGGGGAGAGAAGCGCATTCCGCACTTTTGTCGAAGCTCTTCCTCACCAGCCGCTTTGAGTACGTTGCACTAGACATCAGAAACCAGCTTCCAAAATATTCAGGAATGTCTTCACGACACTTGTACAGCCTCGACATCCCCAGAAGGTGCTCCGTCATTTTTGTGCTAAGCTGAAGTCCGCATAATCAGAGCGAAGACGAAAATAACGGTGGCGACGCTGGGAACAGAGATGGACGCTGCGCCTGTTTCCAATCCCCAGAGAGCACTGTAAAGCTCAGGCCTGCAAATAGAATTATTCAATAATTGTAATTGCCTTAATCATGCACTGCAGTTCCCTTCCTGCGACATACCGTGCTCGTATCTTGTAGCTCATTTGCAAGTTTGCTCCCTTGCCTGTGCTGCCGGCTAGTCACATGGCTAGTTCAGCTTACGTGAAAGGCTTATCTCCCTTTTGAAGAGGCTCTATGAAGTAGCAGAATAAAACGTTGTGTCCACCATTACAGCCTTTGGTGGCGGCACATGAGACCTTTGTGCTTTTCTCCGATAGTAGAAACGCCACATTGCTGGCGTCTACGTTATTGAATGGAGCTTTGTCAACATCATATGCTCCTGTTGAAGGCTCAAAGCTCGATCTGCAGCATGAAGGCCATAAGATAGAAACACAGAATAGCTGAAGGCCAAGAAGATTTCTCGAGCAAATAGTGAGACTGAGTCAAGCGCCACCAGACTGCAAATCTGGGAGAACTCTTCCATGATCACCTAGCTTGTGCATGCTAAAATAAACGCCGAATTCCGACACGCGTGCAAACTAATATGTGTAGACACCATGGCACCGGTGAGAAACAATGAAGTAAAAAGCGACGGACTGTTTGAGGTGGTCAAGTCCGGCTGTGTAAGTCTCCTGGATCAAAGCGTTGCAGTTGAACTCCGTGTTAGGGGCGAATGGAATTACGAGTCCGGGATACTGTGTAGCACAACACCAGCATAGTTGCTGTAGAGGCCTCTCACATGCGCAGAAGATTCCAGGGTTTTAGCTTTGCCCTACGGCGCTTCATCCCTTTAGCGGAAAGCTGCTGCTGAACGATCCTCAAAGCCTAAAAGCCCTACCGTCGTCGCATCCGCGTCTCCGCCGGAGTCACATGTGTCTACATTGTCACCTGCAAGCTTTACTGCAATTGTTGAGGCAGTATTGTCCGTCTGTTGCTCTATTTGATTCGTCTTCAGGCTCGCAGTCACCTCTTTGTCCTCTGCCTTGGTGACGGTTTTCAACATGCCATTGAGATTTTCGTTCCTTAGCTTGTTTATGAGGGTCAGGCATTCTGCAGATGGCACGCTACCACGTGCGTAATGGCAATGCAATTATGCTGTGGCATATATTTCCACACGAGGCAGCACTACCCACGGGCGGGCTGCGCTGAAGCGCCATCTGAATGCCATTCGCCAAAAATACGGACATTTGCACTTGAATTGTATTGAAAATAATATAATCATGTGCAGGAATAATCGCTGGAGGCCCACGGACCTCTACAGATCTGTCTTTCGGGCTAGGGTAGCACCATTCGCTTGTTCACATTAGTAGTTCACCTTCAGTTTTGTCATCGGCTGTGGGCGCCGTCAACGTCCGCAGCAAATCTTGACCGGATGCAGATAAATTTGTGCGGAGGCTGTTCTGCTGAGAAATGCCTGTGCCAGAGCGAAGGGTAAGCGCCGATGAGAAGTGCGGTGCGGCGGCACTGGCGAGAAGGCCAGCAAAACATGCCAACAACCCTACGTGAGCCATTCCCTGACAATTGGCACATCATAAAGTAAGTGGCAGCTGCAGGAATCCAAACAAAATGAGCGCCCAGGACGAAAGAGCTAAGCTAACAAAGAGCGAGAATGCGTGTGAGTTTGTGGCAACGATGTGGGTTGTGTGCGCTGAGGTAGTGGATGGAGCTTCAAGACGGCTTGATGCAGCCACATAGTTTACTCAGGAGCCTGTTTCCACTGTTCAAGTACAGTTAGCAACCTTTGAGAAATAGGGAGCAGTATCTGATTACTTTGCGATATTATATTTTCTTCACAAAGATATATACGCCGGTTGCTGCGAGTGGAGAAGTCACTGGCGGCCAAAGCCCGACGTGCACACGGCGTCCAAATTAAGGAAACGGAAGTAGGTAAGGAACATAAGCCTAATACGAAACTCTTAAGGATATGAAAGAGCAGTAAAGAAAGACATTGTGAAGTCACTGGCTCGAAAGAAAATGCTATTCGTGGCGGCGGGGTCCCGCGGTCACGATGGCGTGAAGTGAGCGGGGGGTGACCTGGGTACTCGGAGGGCTTCCAAGGCAAAACTTCACGTGTGTACGAAAGCCTAAACCATATCTTTGTTAGAAAGTAATTTAGTAAAGCCAGAGGCTGCAAGATATTATCACACCCGGTGTACGCTGCCCGCACGGGATTTGCTCCTGCGTGCTTCGATGCCTGTTTTACTTTCACCGATGTTTCCCGATTTCTCAGTCAAAGGATTTCGCGGCTTCCTACTTCGCTGTTCTTTTTAATAAGAAGAAAAAGTGATTATCGGCAATGGCTGGATTAAATTAATTTCTGCCGATTCTCGTCCCACTTCGACACACGCGTGTGCTCCAGACTGGCTGTCGGCACCGGCAGCAGAACCACACACTTCAGTTACTAACGACGCCGGATGGTGAGCTGCCTGGGAGGACTCACTGATCAAGCATACAATTTATTACTTTCAGTCAAACGCATGCTCGGCATGCCAAAAGGCGTAGGCTGTAGTTTTAGGGTTTCGCAACTTCCTTCGCATTTGCTGCGTTTCCCGCTGCGACGCCAAATGCTTTTGTGGCACGTATATCGAACCTGAGTGAAGAATCGCTAGCACTAAAACAATGCATAAGTGTGCTTTTTGAATGTATTAACAGTAGGAAGGCATAAACAACCACTGGCTTCGCTGTGGACGTTCATGAAGGACTGCAGTTCCTTGCATGCATGAGCTGAGACGAATCCAACCACAATGTGCATCTGACGACATACAAGCTATTCTAGGTAAATTTAGGTGTAGTACGAAGGTTTAATGAAGGGAAAAACGAGTCCTGCATTTTTGCCGAAGCCCACCACCAGCCACTTGGAGTACATAGAACTAGCGAGCAGAAATCAGCTTCTAGACGATTCAGGAATGTCTTCACATGAGATTTATACAACTGCGACATCCACAGAAGCAGCTCCTTCGTTTTTGTGTTAATCTCAAATGCGAATGATCAAAGCGAGGACAAAAAGAACGGTGGCGACGGTGGGAACCGAAGTGAACGCTGCGCCTGTTTCCAAACCCCAGAGAGCATTGTAAAGCTCAGTTCTGCAAACCAAATTAATCAATAACTGTAATTATCTCTGTCTTCGTTTGCAATTCCCATTCCGCAACATATCGTGCTCTCGTCTTGTAGCTCGGTTGCAAGTGTGCTCTGCCGCTTGTGCTGCCGGCTAGTCACGTGGCTAGTTCAGCTTACGTGAAAGACTTATCTCCTTTTCGAAGTGGCTCTATGAAGTAGCAGAATAAAACGTTGTGGCCTGCATTGCAGTTGTTGGTGGCGGCACATGAGACCTTTGAGCTTTTCGCCGACAGTAGAAACGCCACATTGCTGGCGTCTACGTTATTAAACGGAGCGTTTTCAACATCATATGCTCCTGTTGAGGGTTCGAAGTTCGATCTGTAACATGAAAGCGAAAAGATCTGAAATAGAATAGCTGAAGATCAAGAAGATTTCCTCGTCGAATACTGGGACAGAGGCAAGCACCACCAAGCTGCACGCTTGGGAGAGTTCGGGGATGATCGGCCACCTTGTATATGCACTAAAAGCTCCCACGCACGTACGCACTAAAAGGTGTAGGCAATGTGGCACTGGTGAAAGAAAAGGCAGTAAAAAGCAAGGGACTGTTTGAGATGGTCGAGCCCGGCTGTGTAGGTCGCCTGGATCAAAGCGTTGCATTTGAACTCCGTGTCATGTGCGAATGGAATAACGAATCCGGGATGCTGTAGCACAACAACCGAATAACTGATCTCGAAGCCCCTCGCATGCGCAGCAGAACACAGGGTTTAAGCTTTGCGCTGCGACAGTCCATCACTGTGGCTGAAAGCTGTTGCTGAACGACATCCAAAGCCTCGAAGCCCACCGTCTTCGCATTCGCGCTCTTGCCCGATTCACAACTTTCGATATCGTTGCCTGCGAGCATTTCTGCAATTTTCGCGGCAGTAAGGTTTGCCGGTGAATCTACTTCGATTGTCTTCAGGATAGCAGTCACCTCAGTGTCGTCTGCCTTGGTGAGGGTACCCAACAGGCCCTTCAGATTTTCCTTCCTTAACTTGTTTATAATATCAAGGCAATCTGCAGATGGCTCGCTAACACGAACGTAGTGGCAGTGCATTCACTTCGTGGCATGTGTTTCTACAGGATAGCCCACCAGCCACGGGTAGGGCTGCACTAAAGCGTCACGTAAATTTCATTCGTCAAACACAGGGGCATTCACATTTAAATTGAGTTGAAAAAAGTAAAATCATGTGCAGGCATAATATCTGGAAGCCCACAGATCACAATAAATTTGTGGCTGGGACTGGCGTAGCGCCATTCACTTCTTCACATCAATAGCTCACCTTTAGTTATCTCATCGGCTGCAGGCTCTGTCCGCACGGAAACTCGCTCGGATGTAAATAAATTTGAGCTGAGGCCGTTTTGCTGAGATGTGCCTGTGCCAGAGCGAAGGGAAAGCGCAGATGAGAAATCTGGCGCGACGGCGCTGGCGAGAAGGCCAGCATGACATGCCTACAACCGTATGTGATTCATTGCCCGACGACTGGCTTATCATAAAGTAAATGACATTACCAGAAATCCAAACAAAATTAGCACTAAACGCAAGAGATAAGCGAACGGAGAGCGGGAATGTATGGGAGTTTGTTGACGGGATGTGTGGGTTGTGTCCACTCGACAGTGGGAGGAGCTCTACGACGCCTCACCATACAATTTCTCAGGAGCTTTTTTTGGGTGTTCGGGTACATTTATCAAGCTTTAGAAGATAGAAAACAGTATCTGCTTACTTTTGATGTTACATTTCGGCCCGAAAGGTATATACGCCGGTTGCTGAGACCGGAGGAGTCACCGGTGGTCAAGGGACGCAGTGCACACGCCGCCCAAAGTCAGGGGACAGAAGTAGGCAAAGGACATAAACCTTTTTAGGTGCCTTTAAGGATGAGAAGCAGCTGAAAGGAAAGACACTGTGAAGTCAGTGACTCGGGAAAATGCCATTCGTGTTAGCAGGTTCTGACGATGGTCACGATGGCGTGGTGAGAGCGCAGGGTCACCGGGTTACTCGAAGGGCTTCCAAGGCGAAAACTTCCAATGTAAACTAGAGGACAATGCTTATGTTGAAAATTAGTTTAGTAAAGCTACAAACTCTAAAAGATTGGAATACAATGTGTATGCTGGCCAGAAGCCTTGCGCGCGGAAGTAACCGGACGGCTATTCACTTTTACCGAATTTACCAATCATTCTACTGGCCACATGGACACATCCAGAATCTGCTCTGTCGTTTGTTTGCTACGCTCAAGCCCAAATGATTAGACCGAGGACCAAAAGATCGGTGGCGACGCTGGGTACGGAGATAGACGCTGCGCTTGTTTCCAATCCCCAGAGAGCATTGTAAAGCTCAGTTCTGCAAGCAAAAATGATTAATGATTGCATTCACCTTTATCGTGCCTTGCAAGTCCCATTGTGCTACGTTTGGTGCTCGTGTCGTGTAGCTCATTTTGCAAGTGTGCTCTGCCGCCTGCGCTGCCAGTTAGTGATGTGGCTAGTTCAGCCTACGTGAAAGGCTTATCTCCAGTTCGAAGCGGCTCTATGAAGTAGCAGAATAAAACGTCGTGCCCAGCTGTGCAGTCTTTGGTGGCGGCACATGAGACCTTTTTGCTTTTCTCCGACAGTAGAAACGCCACGTTGCTGGCCGCTACATTATTGAATGGAGCATTTTCAGCGTTATATGTTCCTGTCGATGGGTCGAAGTTCGATCTGCAGCATGAAGGCAATAAGATTGAAAACAGAATAACTGAGAAGCAAGAAGTTCTCTCTGGCAAATACTGAGACTGAGACAAGAACCACCAAAGCCTTTGCTCTGGAGCTGCATAGCCGGAAAAGCTCTTGGACTTACGAATGGTATGCCACCTTGTGCATGCTAAATTAAAGACAGAGCTCCGGCATGCGCACAAACTAAAACGTGTATGCACTGTGGATCAAGTCAAAGAAAGTGAATCAAGAAACAACGGACGGTTTGAGGTGGTCGAGTCCGGCTGTGTAAGTTTCCTGGATCAAAGCGTTACAGTTGAACTCCGTGTCATGCGCGAATGGAACAACGAGTCCGGGATACTGTAACACAGTACCAGAATAGATGATATAGAAGCCTCTCGCATGCACAGAAGAACACAGCGCTTTGGTTCTGCGCTGTGGCGTTTCATCATTTCAGCGGAAAGCTCTTGCTAAACGAAACTCAAAGACCACAAGACCTACCGTCTTTGCATCTGCTGTTCCGCCCGATTCACATGTTTCGACATTATTACCTGCAAGCGCTACTGCAATTTTCACGGGAGTAGGGCTTTCTAAATCGGTTTCTCCGATTTTCTTCAGGCTTTCAGTCACCTCACTTTGCTCTGCTTTGGTGAGGGTCCCCAAGAGATCCTTGAGATTTTCGCCCCTTAGCTTGTTTATGATGACCAAGCAGTCTGCAAATGGCAAGCTCACACGTTAGTAATGCCAATGCAGTTATTTTGTGGCATGTGTTCTCGCAGGACCGCCCACTAGCCACGGATGGGCTACACTGAAGCGCCTCTTAGATCGTGTAAAATGGGGGCATTTGCTCTTGAATTGCATTGAAAAGAATAAAATCATGTGCATCCATACTCGAGGTGCTCGCTTTTGTACAGATCTGCACCTGACGCTAGCATCGCGCCATTCACATCAGTAGTTCACCTTCAGTTTTCTCTTCGGCTGCGGGCGGCGTCGGCGGCGAATCTTCTCCGGATGCAAATAAATCTGTGCGAAGGCTGTTTTGCTGAGATGCCGCTGTGCCAGAGCGAAGGGAAAGCGCCAATGAGAAGTGTGGTGCGGCGGCGCTGGCGAGTAGACCAGCATAACATGCAAACAACCCTACGTGAGTCATTGCCTGACGATGGCTTACCATAAAGCAAATGGCATTACCAAAGATCCGAACAAAATGGACACGAAGGACAAAATGGATAAGAAAACAGAGGTCAGGAATGCGTGGGACTTTGTGGCAACGATTTGGGTTGTGTGCGCTGAGGTCGTTGGGGAACCTCTAACAGCTGGATCCCACCATACAGTTAATCAGAAGCTTGTTTCGCCTGTTCCGGTACATTTATCAACCTTTGGGAGATGCATTACAGTATATGACCACTTTGCGATATTATATTTCTTCCGCAAAGAAACACACGCTGACAAAGATGTCCTGCTGCGATTTGAAGAGTCACCGTTATGAATGTACGCCACGAACACGCCGTCCAAAGTAAGCAGACAGAAATAGGTGACGAACATAAACCTGTTTAGAAACCATTGAGCATATGGACAAGACGTAAAGACACTTTGAAGGCATTGGTTGGAAAGAAAGTGCAATGCGTGGTAGCGGAGTCTAGCGCAGATCACGAGGGCAGGAGGTGAGCGCAGAGTGACCTGGTTACTCGAAGGGCTTCCAAGACAAAAGGTCCCGTGTAAACTAAAACTCACTGCAATATCTTTGTTTAAAATAAATTTAGATAGGGTACAAACTCCAAAAAATTGGCACACGCCGTGTATGCAGGTCACACGCTGTGTGCACTAACGTACTTTGATTGCTGTTTATTTTTACCGATATGACCAGCGCTTCTACCTGCCGATTTCTCAGTCAAAGAATCTATCGGCTCCACTGCTCTTTTTAAAAAAGAGAAACAGTGTTTACTATAAATGCTTGGATTAAATTGATTTCCAGCAATTTATGTTCCACTTCAACACATATGTGGGCTCCAGACCAACTGCAGGCACCGCCAGCAGAAGCACACAGTTCAGCAACTACCAAAGGTGCCGGATGCTCAGCGGCCTGAGAGGACTTGCTTGTCAAACTGAAAATTTTACTTCGAGTCCGTGGTATGGCTTGCATATCAAGAAGGTTCAGGGTCTAGGGTTTAGCGTTTAGCGGCTTCACTCACACAAGCCCTGCTTCCCGCTGGGACGACAAATGCGTGTATAGGTCTTTGAGGTTTTCCTGCCTTAGCTTGTCTATGATGGCCAAACAGTCTGCAGATGGCAAGGTAACACCGACGTAATGGCAATGAGATTGCTTCGAGGCGTTTGTTTCCACAAGCCGCCCACTAGCCACGTGTAGAGCTGCACTGAGGCGCCACCTGAATATCATTTCTCGAAAAAGGGAGCATTTGAGCGTGAATTGCATTAAAAAGAATGAACTCATGTGCGGGTATAATCTCTGGTGGCCCACAGAACTCCACAGATCTGTGGCTGGAGCTAGCGCAGCTCCATTCACATTTTTTCAGTAGCAGTTCACCTTGAGTTTTCTCAGCGGCTGTGGGTGCCGCCGTCGTCCGTAGCAAATCTTGGCCGGATGCAAATAAATTTGTAAGGAGGTTGTTTTCCTGAGACGTCGCTATGCCAGGGCGAAGGGAAAGCGCTAATGAGATGTGTGGTGCGGCGGCGCTGGGTAGAAGGCCAGCATGACATGCCAACAACCCTACCTGAGTCATTGCCTGACAATTGGCTTATCATAGAGTAACTGAGAGTGCCAGAAATCCAGACAAATTGGGCACGAAGGGCGAAAGAGCTAGGGAAACAAAGAACGGGAATGTGTGGGACTTTGTGGCAACGATGTGGGTTGTGTGCGCTGAGGCGGTGGCGGGATCTGTACAACTTTATCCCTCCATACAGTTACTCAGCAGCATGTTTCGACTGTTCCGACGCACTTATCAACCTTTGACAAATACGGTACAATATCTGATTATATTGTTATATCATATTTTTTTCGCATATATATATACATATGGCGGTTGCCGCGGTAGGAGGAGTAACTGGCGGTCAAGACACGGCTCAAGGCACGACGTGCACACGTCGTCAAAACTAAGGGGACGGAAACAGGCAAAGGACGTACACCTAGTTAGACACCCTGAAAGATATAAAAAAGCTGTATAGAAAGGCTTTTTGAGGTCAGTGGTTGGAAAGAAAGTGCTATTCATGGTGGCGGGGTCCAGCGAAAGTCGTGATGGCGTGGGGTGAGTGGAGAGTGACCTGGTTACTCGAAGGGCAGCCAAGGCGAAATTTCAAATGCAAAACTAAAACCAACGTCAGTTTCTTTGCTTCAAATCAATTTAGGAAAGGTGCAAACTCTAAAATGTTGGCACACGCGATGTACAGTAGCCACACTCCGTGTGCGCTGGCGTTCTTCGATGGCCATACCACTTTTTCCGACTTTACCGATGCTGCTACTGGCCGACTCCCTAGTCAAAGAATAACCCGGTTTTTTACTTGCACGTTCTCCTTAAAAACTGAAACACTGTTGTTTATAAATGGCTGGATTAAATTAATCACTGCCGGTCCTTGTTTCACTTCGACACAGTTGCGTGCTCCGGGCTAGCTGTCGGCAGCGCCAGCAGTGGCACATGCTTCAGTTACTACTAACGATGCCGGATGGTGAGCTGTCTCGGAGGACTCAGCTATCGAACTTGCAATTTATTACTATCAGTCAAAGGCATGCCTAGCATATCAAAGGGTATGGGGCTTAGAGTTTAGGGTTTAGCGACAGGGTTTAGCGACATTCGCACATGCCCATGCAGTAACCTCTCCGGTTTTTTGCATCTCGACTCTATAGTTTAAATTATGGAGTCCCTTTTCATTAAAAACCAGTACAAAGTTGGACTAAGGCCGAGTCTCCATGCCGAATGACGCCAAATGCATTTGTGCTGCACACATCGAATTTCAGTAATGAATACCTAGAACTAAAGCAATGGATGCTGGCGCTCTTCGGACGTATTAACTGTAGCAGAAAGCGTAAAGAGCCACTGGCTTCGCTGTGAACGTTTATGAAGGGCTGAAACCTGCTGTTGTTTGCTTGCATGCGCATGAGCTGGGGGGAATCCAACTACAACAGACATGTAACGAATGATAAATTATTTTGGATAAAGTTACGTGTAGTACGAAAATCTAGTGGAGAGAAAAACGTATTCTAAACTTTTGCCGGAGCTCTTCCTCATCAGCCAATTGCAGTACGTAGCACTAAAGATCAGCAAAGTCCCTTTGAAAAGATTCGATTCACGAATCTTTTCAAACGGACTTTGCATAACTTCAACATCTCCAGAAGCTGCTCTGTCGTTTGTTTGCTAAGCTGAAGTCCGGATCATCAAAGCGAGGGCCAAAAGGACGGTGGTGACGCTGGGAACTGAGATAGACGCTGCGCCTGCTTCCAATCCCCAGAGGGCATTGTAAAGCTCAGTTCTGCAAGCAAAAATAATTAATAATTCCAATTATTTTTATCGTGTCTTGCAAGTCCCACTCCGAAACATATGGTGCTTTTGTCTTGTAGCTCATTTGCAAGTGTGTTCTGCTGCTCGTGTTGCCGGCTAGTCACGTGGCTAGTTCAGCGTACGTGAAAGGCTTTTGTCCCTTTTGAAGTGGATCTATGAAGTAGCAGAATAGAACATCGTGGCCAGCATTGCAGTTGTTGGTGGCGGCACATGAGACCTTCGTGCTTTTTGCCGACAGCAGAAACGCCACGTTGCTGGCGTTTATGTTGTCAAATGGAGCTTTTGCGGCATCATATGTTCCTGTCGATGGCTCGAAGTTCGATCTGCAGCATGAAGGCAATAAGATTTAACACAGAATAACTGGGGGTCAAGAAGTATTCCCTGGCAAATCCTGATACTGAAGCAAGCGCCACCGAGCTGCACGCGTTTGACAGATGGATAATCAGCCACCTTGCTCACGCTAAATCCAGCACAGAACTCCCCCATACGTACGAACTAAAATATGCAACCACTGTAGCGCCGGTGGAATAAAATGATATAAAAAACAACCGACTGTTTCAGGTGGTCGAGTCCGGCTGTGTAAGTCGCCTGGATCAACGCGTCGCAATCGAACTCCGTGGAATGCAGGAATGGAATTACGAGTCCGGGATACTGTAGCACAAATTAGGACAGTTGCTATAGAAGCCCCTTTCATGCGTAGAAGAACACAGGGTTCTAGCTTTGCCCTGAGGCGGTTCATCACTTTAGCGGGAAGCTGCTGCTGAACGATACTCAAAGTGTACAAGTCATACCGTCTCCGCATTCGCGTTTTCGCCAGATTCACAGCTTTCGGCATCGCTGCCCGCAAGCGTTTGTGCAATTTTCGCTGCAGTAAGGTTTTCCGCATTGTCTATATTGATCTTCTTGAGGCTTGTGCTTACGTCAGTGTCATTTGCCTTGGTGAGGGTTCCCAACAGGTCCTTGAGATTTTCCTGCCTTAGCTTGTTTATGATTTCCAGGCAATCTGCAGATGGTATATTCACACAGTAGTAATGGCAGTGCAATTATGCCGTGGCATGTGTTTCCACAGGACCGCCCACTAGGCACGAGTGGGGTTGCGCTGAAGCGCCAGCTGAATGTCACTCGTGAAGAACGGGGGCATTTGCGTTTGAACTGCATTGAAAAGAATAAACACATATGCAGGCATAATCTCTGGAGGCCCACAGATCTCCACAGATCTGTGGCTGGCGCTAGCGTAGGGTCATTCACTTGGTCACATTAATAGTTCACCACCAGTTTTCTCTTCGGCTGCGGGCGGCGTCGGCGAGGAAACGTCTTCAGATGTAAATAGATTTGTGCGAAGGCTGTTTTGCTGAGACGTCGCTGTGCCAGAGCGAAGGGAGAGAGCCAATGAGGAGTGTGGTGCGGCGGCGCTGGCGAGAAGGCCAGCGTAACATGCCAACAACCCTACGTGAGCCATTGCCTGAAAACGCTTTTTCCATAGAGTGAGTGACAGTACCAGCAAACCAAAAAAACTTGAACACAAAGGAAGAAATGGCTAGGAAAATGCGTTCGAGTTTGTGACAATGATACGGGTTGTGTGCGCTGACGTACTGGGGGGAGCTGTAGGAAGCCTTTCTCCAATCATACAATTACTCAGGAGCTTGTTTCGGCTATTCCGGCACATTTATCCGCCTTTGGAATATAGGTAACAGTATATGATTACTTTGTGTTATTATGTTTATTTCAGAAAGATATAGACTGGATGCTGCGATTGTAGGAGTCCCTGGCGGGCAAGGCACGGCGAGCACACACCGTCGACACTAAGGGGACGCAAATAGATAAAGAATATAAAACTATTCAGAAACATCTAAGAATATAGAGGAGCAGTAGAGAAAGAGATTGTGAAGCCACTGGTTCGAAGTAAAATGCCACTCGCGGTAGCGGGATCCGGCAATGGCGTGCGGTGAGCTAGGGGTGACCTTACTCGAAGGGCTTCCGAGGCAAAACTTCCAGTGTAAACTAAAACGCAAGGCAACGTTTCGGTTTAAAGTTAATTGAGGAAAGCTACAAATTCTGAAAGATTGGACGCTGTTGACGCTGGCCGCACGCCGTGTGCGCTCGCTTTTTTCCATGGCTATTCTACCCCAAACGATTTTACCAATGCTTCGAGTGGGCGTTTCTTCAGCCAGGGAGTCTTGCGGCTCCTTACTTGGCTCTTTTCTTCAAAAAATGAAGCAGTGCTTGTTCTGAATGGTTGGATTAAATTAATTGCTGCCGATTTTTGTTCCCCTCATGTGTGTTTCAGAGTGGCTGTTGGCACTGGCAGCAGTAACAAATTGTTCAGAAACTGGAGTGCACGCGCACTGCAGTGGGTTCCCGTGAGTCTCCAAAGGCTGGAAATGTAGAACAGGGTACTCTGTGATATTAACGTAGATTCCGTCCTCTCTGAAGTGTAGCAGCGGCACCCCACGCGGGCCGACTCGCCAGGCCATCGACATGCCACACGTGCTTCGCACCAATCTCGCTTACAAGAAACTACTCCCCGGGCTTCGAGGCGCCAGCCTGTGAGGTTAGAAGGCATGTCTAGTTTGGTGACAAGCGATTTTGAGTTGTCCTCAATGTGTATTTCTAAGTAGGACATGTTCCACGCAGGTAATAGATCCCATTTCGCGGAGTCAAGAAAAACGTAGTACACACACTGCCGCCCAGCAAACTGCAGTAACTGCCAACGGTGCCAGGCAATGAGCCTCCTGAGAGGACTCGCTTGAAAAACGGACAATTTATTACTTTGAGTCGAAGGCATGCTCGGCATATCCAAGGGTTTAACGCTTAGGGTTAAGGGTTTCGTGGCATGTCATTGACAAATGCCGCGTTTTTCAATTGGACGGCAAATGCGTTTGTGGTGCGTACATCGAATCTCAGTAATGAATATCTAGGACTAAAATATTGCATGAGGGCTCTCTTTGAATGTATTACCTGTACTAAAGGGCATAAAGAGCCACTGGCTTCGCTGTGAGCGTTCATGACGGGCTGACACCTCCGGTGTTGCTTACTTGCATGCCTAGGAGCTCAGAGGATTCCAATCACGACAGGCTTCTGACGGACGAAAATTACTCTAAATAAAGCTACGTTTAGTACTAAGGTGTATTGGCGAGAGAAATGTATCCTGCATTTTTGCAGAAGCTCTTCCTCACCAGCCACTTGCAGTAAGTACGTCGTACTTGCACTATTTAGAGCTAGATATCAGAATCCAGCTCAGGAATGTCTTCAAACGGGATTTGTAAAACTCGACATCTCTAGAAGCTGCTCCGTCGTCTGTTTGTCAAGCTCAAGTGCGAATGATCAGAGCGAGGACCAAAAGAACGGTGGAGACGCTGGGAACTGAGATGGACGCTGCGCCTGCTTCCAATCCCCAGAGGGCATTGTAAAGCTCAGTTCTGCAAGCAAAAATAATCAATAATTGTAATTATCCTTATTACAGCCTGCAATTCCAATTCTGCAACATATCGTGCCCTTGTAGCTCATTTGCATGTGTGCTCTGCCGCTTGTGCTGCCAGCTAGTCACGTGGCTAGTTGAGCTTACGTGAAAGGCTTTTGTCCAGCTTGAAGTGGATCTATGAAGTAGCAGAATAAAACGTTGTAGCCAGCTTTGCAGTTGTTGGTGGCGGCACATGAGACCTTTGTGCTTTCCGCCGATAGCAGAAAGGCCACATTGCTGGCGTTTACGTTATTAAATGGAGCATTTGTTGCATCATACGTTCCTGTCGATGGCTCGAAGTTCGATCTGCAGCAGAAAGGCAATAAGATTGAACGCAGAATAAGTGAAGATCAAGAAACGTTCTTTGGCAAATACTGAGACTGACACGAGTAACACCGAGCTGCACACCTGAAAAATGCTTTTGACAGACGAATAATCAGCCACCTTGTGCATGCAAAAGTCAGCATAGAACTCTGGCACAAGTCTGCACAAAAGCATTTATAAACTGCGGGACCCGTGAAGGAGAACGAAGTAAAAAGCAACTGACTGTTTGAGGTGCTCGAGTCCGGCTGTGTAAGTCGCCTGGATCAAAGCGTCGCAGTCGAAATTTGTGGAATGCGTGAATGGAATGACGAGTCCGGGATACTGTGGCGCAAACCAGGAGAGTTGCCGTAGGAGTAACCCGCATGCGTAGAAGAACACAGGGCTCTAGCTTTGTGCTGCGGAGGTTCATCACTTTAGCGGAAAGCTGCTACTGAACGATACTCAAAGCCCCAAAGCCCTACCGTCGTCGCGTTTGCGCTCTTGCCCGATTCACAGCTTTCGATATCGCTGCCCGCGAGTTTCACTGCAATTGTCGCGGAAGTGAGGTTTTGCGTATCCGTTTTTCCGATTTTCTTCAGGCTTTCAGTCACTTCGTTTTCCACTGCCTTGGTAACGCTTCCCAACAGGTCCTTGAGATTTTCGCTTCTCAGCTTGTTTATGATGGTCAGGCAATCTGCAGATGGCAAGTTAACACCTGCGTAATGGCAATGCAATTATGTCATGGCACATGTTTCTACCTGACTGCCACCTGAATGTGATTCGTGAAGACCGGGGGCATTTGTGTTTGAAATGCATTGAAAAGAATAAAATCGTGTACAGGCACAATATCTGGAGGCCCACAGAACTCCACAGATCTGTACCCCGAGCCACCATAGCACATTCACTGGTTCACATTGCTAGTTCACCATCAGTTTTGTCAGCTGCTGTGGGCGCCGTAACTGGTGAATCTTGGTCGGCTACAACTATATTTGTGCGGAGGCTGCTTTGCTGAGACGTTGCTGTGCCAGAACGAAGGGAAAGCGCCAATGAGAAGTGTGGTGCGGCGGCACTGGCGAGAAGGCCAGCATAACACGCCAACAACCCTACGTGAGTCATTGCCTGACAATTGGCTTGTCACAAAGTAAATGACAGTGGCAGAAATCCAAATAAAATGCGCGTGAAGGACGGAAGGGCTAGGAAAGCAGGGAGCGGGAATGAGTTGGAGTTCTTAACAATTGTGGGGGTTGTGTGCGCTGAGGTTGTGGGGAGAGCTGTAGGACTCTTGATCGCACCATACAGTTACTTAGGAGCCTTCTTCGATTGTTCAGGCAAACTTATCAGTGTTTGAAAGATACGGACCAGTATATTATTACTTTGTAATATTATATTTCTTTCACAAAGATATATATGGCGGTTGCTGCGATGGGGTCACCGGCGGTCAACGCGCGACGTGCACACGCCGTCCAAATTAAGGGTACGGAAATAGGTGAAGGATATAAACCTATTTAGAAGCCCTGAGGGATATAAAATAGTTTTGAAGAAAAGCACTGGAAAGCCAATGGCTTGAAAGAAAGTGCTACTTGTGTTAGCAGGGTCCGGCGAGGGTCACGATGGGGTGTAGTGAGCGGAGGGTGACCTTACTACTGGAAGGGCTTCCAAGGCAAAACTTCCCATGTAAACTAGAAGAAACGGCAAATTTTTTGTTTCGAAATTAATTCAGGAAGGCTGTGAATTCCAAAAACAGCTTGTGCACGCGGGCCACACGCTGTGTACACTCGCGCACTTCGACGGCAGTTCTACTTCAATCGATTTTACTGAAGCTTCTATTGGCCGATTTCTCAATCAAAGAATCTCCCGGCCTCTTACTTGTTTGATCTATTCAAAAACAAAAGCGGCGATTATTATAAATGGCTGGATTAAATTAATCTTCCACTTCGACACACCTGTGCTCCGGACTGGCTGTCGGCACAAGCAGTAGCAATAGTAGTTCAGTAACTACCAACGACGCTGGCTGCTGAGCTGCCTGATTGGACTCTCTTATCCCACCGACAACCGTTTAGTTTCAGTCAAAGATATGATTGCCATATCCAAGAGTTTAGGCGTTAGGGTATATTGAGTTCGTTCATACATGTCGCTTTTCGCTCTCCGACGGCCAACGCTTTCGCGGTGCACACATCGAATCTCAGTGAAAAGTGCCTAGCACTAAAACAATGCATGAAGGCACTCTTTGAATGTATTAACTGTAGCAAAAGGCGTGAACAGCCACTGGCTTCGCTGTGAAAGTTCACAAAGGACTGAAACCTGCGGTGTTGTTTGTTTGCACGCACATGAGCATAGAGGATTCCAAGCACAACAGCTATCTGATGGGTCAAAATTACCTTAGATAACGTTACGTGAAGTAGTAAGACATAGTTTGGAGAGAACACATTCTGCATTACCGCCAAAGCTTTTCCTCACCAGCCACTTGCAGTAGGTACAACACGCGATCAGAAACCAGCTTCTAAACGATTCAGGAATGTCTCCAAACGGCATTTGTACAACTTCGAGACCTCGAAAAACTGTTCCTTTGTTTGATTGTTAAGTCCGAATCATCAATGCGAGGGCCAAAAGGACGGTGGCGACGCTGGGAACCGAGATGAACGCTGCGCCCGTTTCCAATCCCCAGAGAGCATTGTAAAGCTCAGTTCTGCAAGCAACCTAAGTCAATAATTGCACTTTCCTTCATCGTGCCCTACAAGTCCCATTCTGCTACATATCTTGCTCTCGTCTTGTAGCTCAATTGCTAGTGTGCTCTGCCGCTTGCGCCTCCGGCTTGTCATGTGGTTAGTTCAGCGTACGTGAAAGGCTTTTCTCCAGCTTGAAGTGGTTCTATGAAGTAGCAGAATAAAACATCATGGCCACCTTCGCAGTTTTCGGTGGCGGCACATGAGACCTTTGTGCTTTCCGCCGATAGCAGAAACGCCACATTGCTGGCGTCTATGTTGTTAAATGGAGCTTTTGCAGCATCGTATGTTCCTGTCGATGGATCGAAGTTCGATCTGTAGCAAGAAGCAAAACAGAATAAGTGGAGATCAAGAAACGTTCTTTGGCAAATACTGAGACTGAGACAAGCACCACCAAGCTGCACACCTGCGAAATCACTTGGACTGAGAAAATTACTTGGTTAATTGTGCATGATAGAGTAAACACAGAATCCCGACGCACGTAAAAGCTAATAGGTTTAGTCACTGTGGCACCGGTCAAGGAAAATGAATTTAAAAGCAACGGACTGTTTGAGGTGGTCGAGTCCCGCTGTGTACGTCGCCTGGATCAAAGCGTTGCAGTCGAAATTCTTATCGTGCGCAAATGGAATTACGAGTCCGGGATACTGTAGCACATCACCGGCATAGTTGCCACAGCAGCCTCTCACAATCACAGAAGGGCGCAGGGTTTTACCTTTGTTCTGCGACGGTTCATCACTTTGGCGGAAAGCTGCCGCTGCACAATACTCAAAGCCCAAAAACCCTACCATCGTCGCATTGGCGTCTTTGCCTGATTCACATGTTTCTGTAGTTTCACCCGCAAGCTTCGCTGCAATTTTCACGGCAGTGGGGCTTTCTGGGTCCGTTTTTCCGATCTTCTGCAGGCTTGCAGTCACCTCAGTCTCGTCTGCCTGGGTGAGGGTTCCCAGCAGGTCCTTTAGATTTTCCTTCCTTAGCTTGTTTATGATTTCCAGGCAATCTGCAGATGGCAAGTTGACACGGGTCTTTTGGCAATGCAATCGTGTCGTGGCGGGTGCTTCCACGGGACAGCCCACTAGTGAAGTGTGGTGTTGCACTGAAGCGCCACCTGAATGTTATTCGTCAAAAACGGAGGCATTTGCTCGTGCACTGAAAAGAATAAAACCATGAGCAGGCATAATATCTGAAGGCCTGCAAATCTCCACAGATCTGTGGCTGGGGCTACCGTGGCGTCATTCACTTGTTCACACTACTAGTTCACCTTCAGTTTTGTCAGTGGCCGCGGGCGCCGTCGTCAACCAAAGCAAGTCTTGACCGGATGCAAATGAATTTGTGCGGAGGCTGTTTTGCTGAGACGTCGCTGTGCTGGAACGAAGGGAAAGCGCCGATAAGAATTGCGGTGCGGCGGCGCTGGCGAGGAGGCCAGCATAAAATGCCGGCAACCCGACGGGAGTCATTGCCTGGCAATTGGCTTGTCATAAAGTAAATGACAGTAGCAGAAATTCAAACAAAATGAGCGCGAAGGAGGGGAGGGCTAGGGAAACAAAGAAAGGGAACGCGTGTGAGTTAGTGGCAACGGTGCCGGTTGTGTGCGCTGAGGTAGTGGTGGTGCTCTACGACGCCTACATCGCGTCATGCCATTACTCAGGAGCTGGTTTCGATTCTTCCGGGACATTTTTCAACCTTTGGGAGATACATCACAGTATATGATTACGTGGTGATATTATATTCCTCTCACAAAGATGCACACGCCGACAAAAATGTATACGCCGATTGCTGTGATTGGAGGAGTCACCGGCGGTCAAGGCACGAATTGTACTGTACACATTGTTCAAATTAAGGGGGCAGAAATAGGTGGAAAAAATGGACCTATATAAAACGTCTTAAGGATATGAAAGCACTGTTAATATTGTGAAGCCATTGGTTCGAAAGAAAATGCTAGTCGTGCTAGTGGGGTCCGGCGAAGGTCACGATGACATGCGGTGAGCGGAGGGTGACCTGGTTACTAGGAGGGCTTCCAAGGCAAAACATGTCACGTAAACTAAGACGCACAACAATTATTTTGTTTGAAATCAATTTAGAAAAGGTGAAAACTCAAAAGAATTGGCACATGCTGTCTACGTGGACCACACGCTGTGTGCGCTCGCGTGCTTCGATGGCTGTCCAGTTTTACCGATCCCATCGACGCTTCTACTGGCCGATTTCTCAGTCAAAGAATCTCCCGGCTTCTTACTTGACTGCTCTCTTTAAAAGCATAAACACTGCGCATTAAAAATGGTTGGATTAAGCCAATCCGTGTCGATTCTTGCTCCACTTGCACACAACTGTGTGTTCCAGACTGGCTGTCGGCACCGGCAGCACTAGCATATAGTTCAGTAACTACCACCAAAACCGGATTCTAAACTGACTTAGATGACCCACTGATCAAACAGAATATATGTTACTCTTATTTTATAGGCATGTACGCCATATCGACGGGTTTAGAGCTCAGATTTCAGGTGTTCACGACTTTATTCATTGACACATGCCGCGTTTACCACTGCGGCGTCAAATGCTTCTTGTGGTGCGTATAATGACTCTCAATAATGAATACCAAGCACTAAAACAATGCCTGAGGGTACTTATTAAATGTATTAACTGTAGCAAATGGCGTAAACGCCGACTGGCTTCGCTGTGAACGTTCATCAAGGGCTGAAGTATGCGATGTTGTTTGCTTGCATGCACGCGCGCTAAGAGGAATCCAACCACAACAGGTATCTGACAAATTGAAATTACTCTAGATAAACTCACATGTAGTTGTTGAGTGGCCATATTTGTATTTTACAGGCAGCATCCACCTGGCTAATGAAACCCACGCCTACCAGGCCTGTTGGCTGCCAAGGGTGATATTCTTTGCTTTTCCTAGCTCGAATTCTTCCTTAGGTAGATAAGAACTTAGTGGAAAGTTACATGTGCATGCAATGCCAGTGGCGCCAGAGAGATGAAAGATTGCATGCACTCCGGACCACCCACTGAGCAAAACGGAGGGAAAGCTTTCAACGTGAATTTGGCTCTACACCCCTGCAATTCATTGAATCTTCTGATAGTTTTGGCTTCACTATGGTTAACTTGCCATTCTCAGTGACATTGGAAAGCTGAGATAATCTCTGAGTGCCACAGAGGTCAGATAGCCATTGGGAAGTTCACTGCCGTCCGAAGGCAATGTATTTTTGCTGAAGACCAAACGATTTTCCAGTCTCGCTGGAATTTATTTGCGCATTCAGTCTGAAGAATGCAAGCTCTGAAGGGATTGGGAACAGACGCTCGACAACGATATTATTCATGTCAGTCATTGACTAGCTGGTAAAATGGACTTTTGGACGTATCGCATGTTCAAGTAAAGCTGCACTCCTGAGACTACGAGTTTAAGGAGGAAGACGCTTGTGCATGTGCGTGTTTATTCATTTACGCATGCATGTACAAGTTCCCTGTATGCACGTGAATTGCATCGGCGTATATAGACACATGTACAGAAGCTTCTGCCTTTCATCTCCAAAGAAATTTAGGGTTTAGGGTTTAGGGTTTAGGGTCTAGGGGAGTCTAGGGTTTAGAGTTTGGGGTTTTGCAGCTGGACAAGGAAGCAAGCCAACAAATAAGTGCTTAGGGTTTTGAAAGAAAAAGAAAAACAAAAAAAGAATTAAAGGGCTTAAAGATAAATAATTAAAAACAGAAACAGCAGGAAATAAATTTTCTTTTTTGTTTTCCTGCATGCGTGCTGATATGACCCGGGTCTCTTCGTCATTTTCGGAAATGTGTCCAGAGGCCGCTGCCCCTGTTCTTGCTGCTGCTGCTGCTGCTCTCGCTGCTGCTTCTGCTGCTGCTGCTCGCCGAGTCCAGTTTCTGGTGCATTCGTGCACTACGACTCATTGCATGCTGCAGATTAGGAATTAAACCTTTCGTCTCCCCTGTTTTCGCTATTGACGCCGTTTTCTTTCAAACCCTGTTCATTTTCCCCGTATCTTATCCAGTTATATGTCAGAAATATTTAGTGTGCCCATGGCAATTTGAATAAATGCGAGATTTGGTTTAAAATCAACATGACAAATGTCAGTTGCTGTGCAGCAACTGAGACCCGCAATTGCAGACAGGTATTCAAGATCGCGAAAGACGGTGGTGTTTGGATTGTCTCAAAGGAAATCATTTTCCTTTTGGTCTTTCTAAGATTCAAGCTTTCTAACAAGAAAAGAACTTCCGTTTCTGGGATGCATGTCTACAACCGCGAATTTGGCGGATTTGGCGTTAGAAGCATAGCTGGAGGAAACTACAGATATATTTTTGTTTGAGAATGACTTATTTTGAAATAGTTTTTCTTTCGAAAGATCTGTTGAAATAATAGTTGACAATTCATCCTGCTCCCCGCAATTCCACACAAGGCTGTTGAATCCGCACATCAGTGCTGTGTCAGGATTTCAAATATTCGATTCGATGTATATTAAAGCTATTTAGCACCCACTGGAGAGGGTGTGGGGATTAAAATTAGGGTTTGGATTGAGAGTTTTTGAGTTTACCGAGGGTTTAGGGTTTAGAATTAGGGTTTGGGATGAGCGCTTTTGAGACCCTTCGCGGGCGTTTGGCGCAGTCGGTAGCGCGTGGGTCTCATAATCCCAAGGTCGCGAGTTCGAGCCTCGCAATGCCCACTCGACTTTTTCATCTTTTAATTCTTTTTTTTCTTTTTCTTTTGTTCACTTGTCTCATTTGTCGCTTTTTGTAAATGCTTTTAGCGTTATTAATGCAGATAGCCTGAGAGCAGGCTGCCGGCCAGGCTGCTCGCATTTCATCGATGGCAAAACTTCGTTTATGTGTATCACAGCGCTTTTGGAAATCTAATCAAGCTGGAAACTAATTTAAAAGATAGGCCTTGCAGAACGCTCAGAATCTAGGGTTTAGGGTTTAGCGTTTAGGGTTGAGGGTTTAGCATTTAGGGTTTAGGGTTTGAAGACGGAGCATTGCGAATGCTCTCCACGGCCACGAAGAGAGAAACAAAGCGGCAGACAAGGCGAAACGACATTGAAAATAAATTGAAATAAAGCTAAAGAAGAAAATAAACAAACTTATTCTCCTAAAAGTAAGGACGTTTCAATTCGTGTGCAGACACGCCAGTAACGCTGCAGTTAACCAGTGTGCACATCATGTCCGCCACCTGCAGTCGTTACACCCCAAAAATGGGGGTTTTTAACTCTTTAAGTCGCTTAATTGGTTTTAATTTTAATTTATTTGTCGTCTAAGAACTGATTGGAGAAGCAAATGCCGCGGAAAAGCTCCATTTTGTGGTGCTTCCCGAACCTGTGCGCGCTGAGGTCACTGCGGGACTGCTGCCGCCCGGCCTTTTGGTTGCTTTACACTGCATTTTGCTGCCTTTTAAATTTATTTCCTTATTTTCGAATCTTTTGTTTATTATTCATCCTTTGTTTTACTTCTTTCGAAGGTTTTGGGGCTCAAGACTGCGGGTTTGTGCTGCTGGCTCGTGCTCTTTGCTGCAACCCCGCTGTGCAGTGGCTCCGTATATCTCTACGCGTTTAGGGCCCAGGGTTTTCTTCAAGGGTTTAGGGTTTAGGGTTTAGGGTTTAGGTCTTGGCATTTCGCCGCAGACACTGACCGATGGTGCTGCAGCCCGCGCTCCCCACGGCGACTCACACACCTAGCGCTAACACATAAATGAATGCCGCAAACCCTAACCCCTAAACCCTAAACCCTAGCTTCCAAACCCCAATTTGAGCAGAAGACAACGACAGAAGCTGCTGCAGCAGCATCCAGGACTCACCAGCAGCACCTGCTGCTGCTCAAAGCTTACCTCCAGCCATCCCCTTTGCAGCTCCCTCTAGACTGCTGCTGCTGCAGCAGCAGCAGCTCCTCAGCCAATGGCTTCTCAAGCAGCGCTCAACTCTGCGTGCACTGGCTGCAGCAACAGTAGCAGCAGCATCGACAGCAGCAGCAGCAGCAGCAGCAGCAGCAGCAACAGCAGCAGCAGCAACAACGGCAGCAACAGCAGCACGAAGAGGTGTGGGGGCCACTGGCACTTCAGGTCTGCAATAAGAGGTCTTCGATGGATGTACGACCGGCTGAGCTCTCCCCTGCTGCTGCAGCTGTTGCTGCTGCTGCTGCTGCTGCTGCTGCTGGTGCAGGAGCAGCAGCTGCGGCTCCTTTACCTCCACGGCAGCAGCGCCATCGACGCCCTCAACTCCTGCGGTGTCCATACACCTCACACTGCGAGTCAGAATCTGTGGGGTTCCTCTCAGCGCTGCGAAGCAGCTGCTGCAGTTCGGAGCAGCAGACATCCTGCTGCTGCTGCTGCTGCTGCTTCCGGAGCTACAACGAAGAAGAACTGGTCACAGCTGCTGCTGCTGCTGCTGCCCGATCTGGCTTTGGTGCCTGAAAACCCACTGCACCGGAAGCAGCAGCAGCAGCACGACCAGCAGCAGCCGCAGCATGATCAGCAGCAGCAGCAGCAGCAACCACAGCGGCATCAGCCCCAAAAACTGCAGCAGCAAGAGCAGCAGCGCCACTCAGCTACGCTTTTGCCATATGAGCAGCAGCAACAGCAACAGCAGCAGCAGCAGCAGCAGCAGCAGCAAATCGAGGACAGCCCCACCGAGTGCTCCATTTCCGAGGGCAGCATCGCTCTCTGTTGCTCCCTCGATGGGAAGCAGCAACAGCAGCAGCAGCCGCAGCGGGCTCAGATGAAGCGGCAGCAGCAGCAAGAGTCCAAGCAGCAGCAGCAGCAGCAGCAACAACAACAGCAGCAGCAGCAGCAACAGGAGCGCAGGGCTCTCCGTCGTCGGCACTTCCGCCGCGAGCTGCTGCTGCGGTCTTCTCCTATAACTGTGTCTCCTGTGTCTCCTGAGTGCAGCAGCAGCAGCACTCAAAGTCCCTTTTCGGTGGAGCAGCAGCAGCAGCAGCGACTAGGCAAGCAGCAGCAAACAGAAAACCATCTGCAGCACGAACCGCCCCAAGAAAGTCCCCCGCAGCAGCAGCAGCAGCAGCGGCAGCAGCAGCTGCAGCAGGGCTGCAGCGACTGCCAACAAACTGGCAGCTGCTGCTGCCCCAAATGCCTCGCCCAAAGGCAGGCAGCTGCTGCTGCTGCTGCTGCTGCTGCTGCTGCTGCTCAGGGGACAGAAGCTGTGATTGGGAAGCTGATTAAGCGGAAGAGCAGCAGCAACCTGCTGCTGCCAGAGTGCAGCAGCAGCAGCAGCAACTGCAGCAGCAGCAGCTTCCCGAACGGTGGCACTGCTGACACCGCAGCGCGCTGCCCGTCTGCCTTCGTCCCTTTTGCTGCAGGGCAGTGCTGCTCTTCTGCTGAAGCAGCAGCAGCAGCAGCAGCAGCAGCAGCAGCAGCAACACCACCAGCAGCTCCATCCTCAGGGGGCTTCAGAAGAAGGGCCCGTTACTTTTATATTGGAGACTCAAAGGACTCTTCAGACGTCGAATGGAGCAGCAGCAGCAGCAGCAGGAACAGCAGCAGCAGCAGCAACCGGCAACGGTACAGCGAGAGCAGCAGCGACAATGACACCAGCAGCAGCAGGAACAGCAGCAACAGCAGCCGCAGCAGCACCAGCAGCAACGGCAGCAACAGCAGCAACAACAGCCGCAGCATTTCGCGCTGCAGGACTCCACAGGGTGGCAGCCAGCAGCCTGCAGCAAACCATTCTGCTGGCAGCAGCGCAGCAGCCTCCCAGCAGCAGCAGCAGCAGCAGCAGCGGCAACAGCAGCAGCAGCTGCTGCATCAACATGACACGATGGATTTGCTGCAGCGGCAGCTGCAGCAGCAACGGAAACAGCTGCTGCTGCGGCTGCAGAAGCAAGCTCGGAGGCTGGGAGAGCAGCGGCCCTTTGCGCCGCAGCAGCTGCAGCGAGGGCCGCAGCAGCAACAGCTGCAGCAGCAGCAGCAGAAGCAACAAGAGCAGTGGCAGCAGCAGCAACAGCAGCAATTGCTGCTGGAGCAGCAAGAGCAAAAAAAACAGCTAGAGAAGCAGCAGCAGCAGCAGCAGCAGGCAGAGACCGAAGAACAGCAAGCGCTGCAGCAGCAGCAAGAACAAAAACAACAACAGAAACAGAAGCAGCAGCAGCAGCAGCAGCAGCAGCCGCTGCAGCAGCCGCTGCAGCAGCCGCAGCCGCAGCAGCAAATAGAGCAGCAAATGTTGCAGGGTGAAGAAGCAGAAAGAAAGCGCGAGACAGAAAGGCTTAAGGCGCTGGTGCTGCAGCACAAAAAGAAGGAGCTCAGCTCCTAAACCCTAAACCCTAAACCCTAAACCCTAGACCTTTAATTTTTGTTTATTTTTTTGCTGGCAACTCCCCACTGCACGCTTTAGCAGCGTAAACCCCAAACCCTAGACCCCCAAGCCGACGCAACAGCCTACGCCCCAAACCCTAAACCCTAAACCCTCAAGCCGAAACCCCAAACCCTAAACCCTAAAAACGAAACCCTAAACCCTAAATTAGGGACTGGGCATTGCGAGGCTCGAACTCGCGACCTTGGGATTATGAGACCCACGCGCTACCGACTGCGCCAAACGCCCGACGACATTTTGCGAAAATTCTAAACCCTAAACCCTAAACCCTAAACCCTAAACTCCAAACCCTAAACCCTAGGCCGTGACTTTTCGCAAATCTAGTTTTTGCATCTGCCCAGAACCCCCAAGAGGCAGCAGCAGTCTTGCCCTTAACGTGAGCTTGCGGCGCCCACCATTCCGCGCTCAGGGAGGGTTTAGGGTTTAGGGTTTAGGGTTTAGGGTTTAGGGTTTAGGGTTTAGGGAGCCGCCGCGGGCGTTTGGCGCAGTCGGTAGCGCGTGGGTCTCATAATCCCAAGGTCGCGAGTTCGAGCCTCGCAATGCCCATTTCTTTTTCATTTTTTTGATTTCTTTTTGCCTCACTTTTGCCTTTTGCTGCCTCCCCTGATTGTTCACCAGCTAGCTAGCTAGCTAGCTAGCTAGCTAGCTAGCTAGCTAGCCGGCTGGCTGGCTAGCTAGCTGGTAGCTAGCTAGCCAGCTAGCTACCTAGCTGGCTTCCTGGCTGGCTAGCTAGCTGGCTGCTAGGTAGCCGGCGAGCCCGGTGCGGGCCAGCAACACAGCTAGTTAGCCTAGCTAGCTAGCTAGCTAGCTAGCTAGCTAGCTAGCTAGCTCGCTAGTGCCTCCAGGGTCTGTTTTCTTCTCTTTCTTAAAAGATACAATTTGGGTTTTGGCTTTCCTTGTCAGCTGCCACAGCCCTAGCTAAAAGCTTACTATATCTAGCTGTGGCTAGCTGTGGCTAGCTGTAGCTAGCTGCAGCTAGCTGTAGCTAGCTGTGGCTAGCTGTAGCTAGCTGCAGCTAGTTGTAGCTAGCTGCAGCTAGCTGGAGCTAACTGCAGCTAGCTGGGGCTAACTGCAGCTAGCTGGAGCTAGCTGCAGCTAGCCAGATATGGCTATACCCGCGTTGGCAGCAGTCTATGCCAGCTGCGTCCTAACGAACCCTAAACCCTAAACCCTAAACCCTAAACCCTAGCTCGAAACTGCCGGCCGTGTGTGCCTTTTAGGCTGGGGCCTCTGCAAGTCACTGTGTAGCCGTCGCTAGCTGGCTAGCTAGCTAGCTAGCTAGCTAGCCAGCTAGCTAGCTAGCTGGCTAGCTAGCCGCGGCACGAGCAGCGGGCTACAGCTAGCTAAAGCTGGCTACCTGCGGCTAGCCGTGGCTAGCTGCAGGGTTTAGGGTTTAGCGTTTGTAAAAGACGAGGGACAAGCGCTGCTGCTGTCTTCGTTTTCTTTAGGAAGGGGACCTGAAAACTGCGTTTAGGGTTTAGGGTTTAGGGTTTGGGGTTTATGGCGTAGGGTTTTGGGGCGGGTTACTGACGCGCCGACAGAAGGGGCGTAGGGTTCAGGGTTTAGGGTTTAGGGTTTAGGGTTTAGGGTTTGTGGGGCACTCAATCATGTCTGGTCATGACGCTGCAGTCGTTGGGCCTCTGAAAAATTCATTGAAAAACATTTTAAAAAAGATGGTTTAGGGTTTAGGGTTTAGGGTTTAGGGTTTAGACCTTGGGGCTTCCCAACTGATCACCACGGGGGGCCCCTTGTCGGCAGCCCCTCCCACGGGGTTGGCTGTGAGCGTTTAAGCCTTTAGGGTTTAGGGTTTATGGTTTAGGGTTTATTTTTGAAAGTATGTGGATTGGTCGCTTTGGATTTAGGGTTTAGGGTTTAGGGTTTAGTGTTTAGGGATTAGGGTTTGTCGTCAGCCAGGGTAGGGCCCCCTCCGGTCTCAACTGCGCTGATGATTCTTCTCCTGCCTTCTCTTTTTTTTGTACCTAGGGTTTAGGGTTTAGGGTTTAGGGCTTGGGGTTTAGGGTTTAGGGGTCAAAGGGACGACTGAGACTCCATGGCCTGCAGCCTGCGATGTTTCTGCCTAGGGTTGAGGGTTTAGGGTTTAGGGTTTAGGGTTTGTCTTTCGTTTATTTCACCTCCAGCCCTCGGCAAGCAGCGGGCCCTCTGAAGCCCTGAGCTTCAAAACCCTAAACCCTAAACCCTAAACCCTAAACCCTAGAATGGATCCGTTCCGGGCGCTGCCGCTGCTGCAGCTGCAGCAGCAAGAAGCAATTCAGTGTTTAGCAGCATCTCAGTCGGGGGTTTTCGTGGGATGCGAAAAGGGTTTAGTGCTGCGGGTAGCGCTTGGGCCCTTGGAGGAGGATGCAGTGGAGGTCAGCCTAGGGTTTAGGGTTTAGGGTTTAGGGTTTGGGGTTAGGGTCTAGGGTTTAGGGTTTAGGGCTGTTTCGCGCTGCGTCTACGGCTTGTGCCGTTGGCGGCGTTCGCCGTCGGGGCAGGCCGTGGGTGTCAGCCTAGGGTTTAGGGTTTCGGGCTAGGGTTTAGGGTTTAGGGTTTAGGGTTTAGGGTTTAGGGTTTGGGGCGGGCATTCAGGCCACAGCCACCGTCACCGCCAAGCTGCAGCTTCCCACCAAAAAACCTGTGCAGTCCCTGGCGCTAATTGAACGCCTTTCCGTTGTAGTGGCTGTCTCAGGTGAGGGTTTAGGGTTTAGGGTTTAGGGTTTAGGGTTTAGGGTCTAGGGTTTGGGGTTTGGGACTTGGGGACCAGAAGTGTGCGCTTTTCGCTTGAGAAAGAAAACCGCTTCACGCGAAGGGTTTAGGGTTTAGGGTCTGGGGCCTTTGACGACGCACTCACGCACCAGGACAGAGGGTTTAGGGTTTAGGGTTTAGGGTTTAGGGTTTAGGGTTTAGGGGTGTTTTGAGCAGACGGCTACGTGTACCTTCTTCCTTTTTCTTTGGACTCTCCTGGCCATTTGTTAACAAAGGGTGAGGGTTTTTCCATAATTAGAAATTTTAATTATTTTTAATTTTTTAAATTATTTATTTTTATTTGTTTCAAATTATTTATGTGTTTAAATTTCAAGCACCCAACGAATTAGCTGTTTAGTTTGCTCGCTATTCGCTGCTAGGGTTTGGGCTGCAGGGCGTAGGGTTTAGGGTTTAGGGTTTAGGGTTTAGGGTTTAGGGTTTAGGGTTTAGGGTTTGCACCAAGCCCAAGCACGCAGCAAGAACCGCGCGCGCGTGGAAACAAAGCAAACAAAAAAAACCACAAATAAACAAACAAATAAATAAATAAATAACTAAATAACTAAATAAATAAATAAATAAATAAATAAATAATAAATAAATAAATAATAAATAAATAAATAAATAAATAAATAATAAAAGAAATAAAATAAATTGCTTCGAGTGCAGTTGCTGCTGCTGCAGGGGCCTCTTGCGCCGCCGTTGCTGCAGCAGAAACCCTCGAGGGTTTGGCTGCGGTGTACGTGGGGTTCAAGGGTTTGGTTCGGGTGTACGTACACCGCAGCGTGGACTTCGTTTTGGCCAAAGAAGTTCCTTTAAATCCAATTAAAGATATTTTCCAAATCTTTTCTTTCCACAACAAACTTCTCCTCGCCACCCACCACGAATACCTCGTCCTCGACCCCGAAACCAAGTAAACCCTAAACCCTAAACCCTAAACCCTAAACCCTAAACCCTAAACCCTAAACCCTAAGCCCTGAAGCCTAAAACCTTGGGGGCCTCTGCGGCTAGCCTGCGGCGGCCTCGCGTGAAGCAGCAGAGCGCAGCAGCCGCGCAAGTAAACCCTAAACCCTAAACCCCAAACCCTAAACCCTAAACCCTCGACGGGGGCCGTTTCCCCCCGGGCATTCCTGCGGGGGGAATTCCGGGGCCCGCGGGTTTGGCGTCGAATAGAAAAGCCGGAAAAGCAGCAGCAGCAGCAGCAGCAGCAGCAGCAGCAGCAGCAGCAGCAGCAGCGGGGGGAGTTGCTGGGGTTTTGGTGCATGCAGCGCGGCGCAAGACCTGTTTGGACTGAAAGTGCCAAACCCTAATTCAGCGAATTGCTGCTGCTTCCTCTTTTGCCCCCTGGGGGTTTCTGAGCTGCTGCTGCGCGGCGACCAGGGCCTTTTGATTTCCATTTGTCTCCAAACTTTGCTGCCAGCAAACCGCAGCACTTTGCTGCTGCCCAAAGACACTGCTGCTGCAGGTTTGTCTCTTTTTGTCTCTTTTGCTGCTCCTTTTGCTGCTCCTTTTGCTGCTCTTTTTGTCTCCTTTTGCTGCTCCTTTTGCTGCTCCATTTGCTGCTCCTTTTGCTGCTCTTTTTGTCTCCTTTTGCTGCTCCTTTTGCTGCTCCTTTTGCTGCTCCTTTTGCTGCTCCTTTTGCTGCTCCTTTTGCTGCTCTTTTTGTCTCCTTTTGCTGCTCCTTTTGCTGCTCCTTTTGCTGCTCTTTTTGTCTCCTTTTGCTGCTCCTTTTGCTGCTCCTTTTGCTGCTCCTTTTGCTGCTCCTTTTGCTGCTCCTTTTGCTGCTCCATTTGCTGCTCCATTTGCTGCTCCATTTGCTGCTCCATTTGCTGCTCCTTTTGCTGCTCCATTTGCTGCCCCAAACCCTAAACCCTAAACCCTAAACCCTAAACCCTAATTTGGCGTGCAGCGGCCTCGGGCCCCTACGTCGTGGCCCTCGAAAGGGGCGGCCGCGTCTGGGCCAGCAACTGGAGCAGCGCGGGGCTGCTGCTGCTGCAGCAAGTGTGTCTTGCTGCACCAGTTGTTGCTGCTGTTCCCCTTCTTACCAAGCAGCAGCAGCAGCAGCAGCAGCAGCAGCAGCAGCAGCAGCAGCACAAAAACCCTATTATTGTTGCTGCTGCCAACACGCTCCAGGTGCTGCTCCCCGTGCCCTTCAAGCACCAGGTAACTGCCAGTTGTAGCGACGCTTCAGGGTTCAAGAC